AGTCATGAACTGTCCATAGTAAGGAAACAGTAATGGTACTCTAAACTCTTACTTTGCCCCTGCGCCCATTGCCACCATCCTGATCTTCCCATTGCCAATCAACTCCTCGTACCACCCTGGCACCTGTAAAGATTCCTCTTGCAGTAATTTTCTTTGATTTACGGCGCGATTCCAGCAATACCCTAAAATTTAATATTGATGACAGGTTAAAGAGATGCCCAATCAAAAATAAGTTATTTAAAAATGTTTATTGCCAAAATCTAAAACTTGCTTTAACATAAAACAGTACATTTCAGTTTAATGAATATTTTAGATACAGGGATTTTTCTAAATATTATAGTTTTAAAACTAATTATATTTGTTACCTTTCACTTCCAGGTGTGGTTATTCTGTAAAAGCGGTGTCTTAGATGATGTTTATCCCCATGATAGCATACTGTGCATAAATCATAATTTGTACATTCCGCACATTTCCATCGAATACCAATTATTGGTTGCTGGCGGCAAGTATCGCACATAGTGCCATCATGTTTAATACCTATAAATAGATATACAACTAACATAGTATTTTAAATAGAAGATATGAAAGCAAACAAAAAACACTGGAGTCTAGGCATTGAGTACATTATAATAATTTCAATTACTTTTCAAACCACACCCCATAATGTCTACATTATTCAATTTAATCCCATCATAGCTTCAGGTACTAATTATGTCAAATGTTCAAATATGAATTTTTATATAAGATACTGAGTCTATAATTACATATTAAAAACAATTCAAATCTCCCAGATAGGCAAATTCACTACTCTTTAGATATTAAAACTGACTGAACTTCAGTATCATTAAAATTTATATACAAATACATTATAAAAACAGTCTGTGGTTCTAGATACTATATCTTAAAAAAGAATATAGTTACTATAAATTAAATGAGCTAATATGGCTTTTACAATACTATGAAAGATGCAGGGAATGAAAGGAGCTGAAAGTTGAGCAGAAAAATGAGCAATTCCTTGGTCTACCACCAATCACTTAAGATTTTAAATTATTGTTGCATAAAAATGTATATGGCTATCAGTATCAATTACACAATTCTAATTATATAATCAAATTCCTATAGTATTACAATGATTTGCATAAGTAATACCATCAATTAAATAATGATATTAAAATGACTGGATTTCATAACATTATTCTAGATGTCGATATTCTCTTTATTCTAGAAAACTAGAATCATCTGAAACTCCTAATTGCTAAAAACACTGACCCATAACAATAAAGATGAATCCACATTCACCAGCTTCTATATTTTCTATTGAGCATTAATAAGTCATTTATATTTAAAAAGACAATGCCATTAATTAATACAAAGTATACAATATTTGATCAATGAATGTATAAAAGCTATGAATAAAATATTTGATTAAGAGAATAATATTTGATTAGGTACAAGCACTCCTTGACTTACAACTACAATTGAGCCCCAAATTTCCAATGCTAAGTCAGACAATGTTAAGTGAAAGTTTGCCTAAGTCAATGTTAAGTGAATTTTGCCCCATTTAACAATCTCTCTTACCACAGTTTAAGTGAATCGCTGCAGTTGTTACATTACAAAAATGATTATTACATGAATCTGGCTTCCCCATTATATTTTGCTTGTCAGGTCGCAAAAGGTGAACACATTACTCCCGTACACTGCAACCATCATAAATACATGCCAATTGCCAAGCACCTGAATTTTGATCATGTGACCACAGGGATGCTAATAATGCTTATAAGTATGAAAAATGGCCATAAAGTCACTATTTCAGGGCTTTGTAACTTTGAAGGTCACTTATCAAAGTCAAGAACTACTTGTATATTCTAAAACTAAAATAGGATTTTATATATATATGGGAATAAGATAAGATGCACTAAATAAAAAGACAACTGGAATTCTCACTTTTATAGTAAACACTCTTTTGCATATTGAAATCTTAAGAGAGACTATGAAGGAACTGAAAGTACGAGGGTGAATCTAACCAGTCCTAATTCTGATAGAACCTAACTTATCTGGTATCTAGTAGTACTAGTTATATTGCTAATCAATTTCTAAAAATGTACAGTTTAATAAAATGAAAAGATTTCTAAAGAAGCTATAAGCAGTCTTTTTTTCATCCCACATCTGAATTTAAACACCAGTTCTATGTTCACCAATTTAATGAGATTTCCAACATGTATCTCTTAATCATAAAATATGAAACTGCCTTCAATAGGTAATTATTTAATAATAAAAAGGGCAGTCCTGTATCCATATACAGGTTCTTGCATCCTTAGTTCTGGATGGGGCTGCACCACCAAACAGACCAATGGTGGGATTCAAAAATTTTTACTACCAGTTCTATGGGTGTGGCTTGGTGGGTGTGGCAGGGGAAGGATACTGTAAAATCTCAATTTTCTCCCCACTGCAAGGGAAGGTTACTGCAAAATCCCATTCCCTCCCCACCCTACTAACCTGGTTTCCAGCTATGTTTTCCTATGCAGGGCAATAAAAGAAGACCCAGCCAATCAGCTGGGGACTCGGGAGGCAGAGAACAGATGGGGGTGGAGCCAGTCAAAATTTCTGCTACCGGTTCTCCAGAACTGGTCAGAAACTGCTGAATACCACCTCTGCAATAGACCTCTTGTGCAATCTGGGGTCCTCCTAGAGACCTAGCTCCTGCTCAAACAGCAGATGGCAGCCATGGAGAGTCTTTGCACACCTTTGGGGGGGGAACACCAACTACACCTATTTTTGGACTGGAATGCTGTTAGTAACATAGTATCTCACACCCTTGTAAGCTCTTGTCTAGATTACTGAAACATGCTCTACGTGGGGCTGACCCTCAAGAACATTCAGAAACTGGTATAGAACTGAAGCAGAATACAACTGTGCAGGTGGTAAATGTTGCCAGATTTATGGCACATGTAACACCACTACTACTGGAATACCTTTACTGGTATGTTTCCAGATGTAATTCAAGGTGCTGGTTGACGCCTTTAAAGCTCTACATGGCTTGGGACCGGGTTACTTGAGAGACTACCTTTTTCCAAGAATCTCTATTTTTCCAATTCAATTTGGCATATAAGGTATGCTGCAGATCCTGTCAGCCAAACAAGTGTTGGCTGGTAGGGACTAGAAGGTGGCCATTGTCTGCAGTAGCCCGATTTGTGGGAATATTGAAGGGTATGCAATTAGAATGGCCCCAACCCTATTAGCCTTTCAGAAAGCTCTAAAAATCTGGCTGTGTTCCTGAGCCTGGGAATGTGCTAAATGTCCCATTTCCTGGCTTTATTGTTAGTTGGCCTAGTATCTCTGCTAGAATGCATATTTAGTTTGGATAAATATTTCATTTTCTATTGTTTTTGTTTTAAAAAGTTAATATTGTTGCATATTTTTTGAATTGTAAGCTTTACAATTTGAATTGTAAAGTCATTGGTTTAGATGGGTAGCTATAGAAATTGAATATTAGAAATGTCTAATTCAGTAACAGCTGATTTCTAAGAACCTTATATTTTTCATATTGCAATAATTATTTGAGAAAATAAGGCCATTAACAATCCACATTTCTTCACTATTGTAAAACAGCAATGAAAATATAAATTTATTTGCCTGTTGCTGAATTTGCTACAGTGGGCATCTTCTCCAAGACTAAGCATTGGCATAAAACTTTCTAAACTTGGATCAAAAACTATTTTAAAAAATGAGTAACTCACAGTGACATAATGACCTTGTTCCAAAGACAAAAAAGAACCCTCCCAATATTTAACTTCAACACTATACCTTTTTTAAAAGGGTGCCAAAATTGTCTCTTGGGGTGGGGTGGGGGAAGCATGACTACATTGCAAGATGCAAATCCTTTTTATATTTATCCAAGCCAAAGATGCAGCCCTATCATACATCCTAAAGGTGTGTGTGTGTCCCATCGAATAAAAGGGGGTGTTTGTTTTTCCATTAAACTGAAGAAACTAAGAAGTTCCAATTGAACTAGCTTCTTACACAGAAATTAACCTCCAAAGACGAACAGTAGGATTTAACCCCATTACTTGTGATGGAGAGCATCCCTCTCTTCTGCCTTCAAGTAATGGGCATTTTCAATTGACAACACTGGATCTATTTCACTACACCACACCTTTTTCCTGTTAACTCCGTTTTGATCCTTTAACATTTTCTGTGCTTGAGCTCTTACGTCCCTGTGCAACTTTTGCTACGGGCTTCCCCATTCACACCCCCCCCCCCCCCACCCCGGGAGTTCCTTAACCACGATTAGGAGCCCTGCGGACCAACAAGGCCTCGTCTGAGAGTCGCCAGCAACCCCCACCCGCTCTTGGGAAACTCCGCGTGGTGTCCCGACGGCGCCGACAGTGGCGCCGGCGGCAGGGAGACTCGCTGGACCTTAAAAGAGGGTCCAAACCCGCACACTTCTCCCCTGAGACCGCCGCCCCGCACCCCGCGGGAAGCGCCCCGGCTGCCTCGCTTCCCTCTCACCTGTGGGCGCGCTGTCGAGGATGCGCAGGTCATAGGCTCCCGAGCAGCGGTAATTGGCGGCCGTGCCGTTGTCCCAGACCACCACCACCTCCTCGGGGCTTTCGAAACTGCGCACGGTGCCCACATGGCCCTCGCCGCCATCCTGCTTCCCCCATTTCCAGTCGGGTCCCCTCACGACCCGGGCACCGACGCCCTCCACCATCACTCGGTTGTTCCTCGAATTGCTCATTATTACTCAGCCTTGCCGGGGCCGGTCCCTCGCGGTGCAGGGACGAGGCCGGGAGAGTCGCTGACGCCAATAACGGGGAAACCGAGGCCGTAGGCGAGGCCTCCTCAGAAACGCCGGAACAACAAAAGACCTGAAAAGCGAAGGAAACCAGCCGGCCGGTCTCGTCCCGCGGGGTAGATAGGATGCGGCCTCCGCCAGCGGAGCGCAGAGTTTGCGACGTATAGCCTCCCCCCCCCCCCCCCCCCCCCCCCCCCCCCCAAAAATGGTGTCGCCCAAACCGGAGAAGCTGGCCGCGCTTTATGCAGGTTCGAAAGGGGAGGGGGCGAACCTTGACGCTTCGGCTGCTACATCCGGGCACTATGGCGGTATCGCCATCCTGGCCGTGGTAGTAGTGGAGGTAGGGCACCCGGGGCTCTCCTGCGCATGTTCCGATCCTGCAACCGGGGAAGGGAAGGGCCCCATTCACAGAACAAAGGAAGCGAGAGACTCCTTAGGGACCTCTAGGGGAACGAGAAGTGTATTGCATCGCCTAGGGCCGAACTTCTGGATTTGCAATGGGGACTGTGCGAAATGTGGCCGCACCTGAAAGCTCTCTCGAGCCTGACGAATCAGGCCGGCAACAAGAGCAAGGACAACTGGAGGGCAATAGCTCCCCCGCCATCGCTCGCAGTAGCTTTTCTGCCGGCGTTCCTTTCTGGACCGTCCTTGGTTAAATCGTTCGGTCAAGCCGCTTTGTGACCAGGTGGCTGTGATTATCTCAGGATTGTCTTGTCAGTAACTGCCCCGTTGAATTATTGGAAGCTCATCTTTGTGTTACCGGTGAATGCATCTAATTACCTTGCCTTCTCTTAGCCTCCTCTTCTTCGATGCAACGTTTTCTCCCACGAATCTATATAGCCTTCTCATGTTGTGTTTAGGATGAATGCTTCGGTGAAAATCAGATTTAATTTCATCTAATATTAGATTTTCTTTCTGTCCAAGGTATTTTCAGTCATTTTCTTCCAACGATTCAAAAGCAATGGGATCTTTCTGAGTATCATGCTTTCACAATCTTACCTTACCTTGGGAAACCATAGTTTGACAAAAACATCTGTCAACGCGATGTGTCAACACTTTTAGCCTTGACATTTTCCCAAATAGCAGAGCTAACTCATTCACCATGCCTTTAACATTTTGAGCCTATGAAGATAAAACTACTCTAAGTACAACTTTTATTCTGCCTTTTTGCTTTGCACTAGCTGTTAGTCTTTTCTTAACAGAGTAGTTAATTGGTATTTCACTATTCTGTAAGTTTCAAACACTTAATGTATTGTTACTATTAATGTCATGAAGTGGTTTGCATCTTTCATGAGATGTTATGAACTATTCTTTATAGTCATAGAAAACCTAAAGTTATAGATATGGCTTGTACTCTTCAGTACTCTTTATTAGCAACATTTGAAAAATATTTTAATAGGGTCTGCTAATATTTTTGTTTTCAGAAAAAGCAAAAAAAAATCATGCAACTTCTTAAACAATACACATGATGACACATGTCTATGGACTAGCAACTGTGTAAGTTGAATAAAATGTACAGTTAATCAGTAACTATTTAGTTAGAATACAAATGCAACCTATTCTGCCAACCTTGCACTTCGAAAGCATGTAAAAAAGCTAGTAGAAAAATAGGGACCACTTTGGTGGGAAGGTAACAGCATTCCGTGCACCTTCGGCGTTTAGTCATGCCGGCCACATGACCACGGAGACGTCTTCGGACAGTGCTGGCGCTTCGGCTTTGTAACAAGAGATGAGCACCACTACCTAGAGCCAGAATGTGAGGGAAACCTTTACCTTTATAAATGCATATTGTACAAAGTTGTTCCAGTGATCTTTTACAGGAATTACCATTACTGATAGTTTTAATTGTTCAATAAATTAGCACCTGTAATAGGACAGCCTAACTGTCAACAGGGATGATGAGAAGACATTAGCAGTTATGCAGAAGAGCTCCTAGTCTTCAATTAGAGCTGCCTCAACCACCACAAAAAGTGGATGATGTCATCTTCAACACACCCATGACCACCCAAAAAAAGCAGACTGGATTTATCTTTCCCTGCTCCAGTTTTAAAGAGAAATCTTTTAACTCTTGCAGCATAAAACATGTGGAATTATATGCAATGTACTGTTCACAGTTAATATTAGGGGTAGGGATCTGTCCATCTCACACTGGCCCCTGAGGCTGCTGCCCGCATGCTCTCAATCCATCCTTGGTCAGAGATTTTCAGGGCCACCTGCAATCAACAATGGAAGATTGGGATAAAGAGGTCTCTCTCCCACTTCTCTTGCCAATCCTGCCAGCAGACCCTATTTTCTGACACACACAGTGAAACATAACTAATAATACAGGCTCAGTTTACAAAAAAACATTGGGCTAAAACACATGATAGTTGGTTTGTAGCTTCATGTACAACAGTAGCCTATCTCTTGCAGTGTTATTACAATTCTTTTTTACCTCATAGATGATTCTCTTTATTTTCATTTACTAATTATATATTGGTTTTGAATAATTTTATATTTATTCCAGCTGGAGTATTAATCATTTTTATGTTTATTATGGAGTGCCATTCAATGCTATTAAATTACTAAATAATTCTAATAAACATAATAAATGGGGTAACTATTTATTGGCAGGATACATATTATTCAGATCACTCCAGGTTCAATCCATAGAATTCCAAGTAAAAATCTGTATCTATCTAAGCATTGGAAAAGTGCCTGCCAGTTAAAAATAAACAATATAGGCCTTGGTACTATGAACTTGATACTAAGGCTATTTCCTAGAGTTTATTTATTTGTTAAGCAATTTATTTATTCATTCTCTCTAATACCCATATTCAGTGTGTTACTCAATGCACATTGTGGGCAGAGTGTGTTGGGAAATTCTAATGCCAACAGGATAATCTTCTAACCTTCTTAAAGTCTGTAGAGATTCTCAGTCATCCAGGCCATGGTTGTCTCAAAGGTACTTCCTCAGGAGGCAACTGGACTTTCTAGTTTTTTCTAGTTTTTTTTTTCTTTTGAAGACATTTAACTTCTCGTCCAAGAAGCTTCTTCAGCTCTGACAGCTTCTAACCTACTTATAGATCTGGAAGCTTCTTGTTTGCTTCTATGAAAAGTATAGATGGGCTGTTTTTGGATCTATTTGATCACCAGTCCTGTTAGTTTCAAAATATCAATATTATTGGAAATGGCTTTCAATGATAGTGGAACATTATACTTAGCTAGCCTATGGCATCATGCAAGTGTTTGCTTATAATAACAAACTTACTATAAAACTAGTTGCACTCATGGATAAAAGATAGCACTGATATTATTCATAATCTTCCGAACAAAGGCCAGCATGATTATGGCCAGATGGCTAGGACAACAGAAAGATATTTCATATATAAAACAACTACTGGTATTATGTACTAGATTTTGAAACGGATAAAAATTATCACACAGAACCAACTTCTTCTAAACACAATTGTAATATTTAAGTTTAAGACTACATTTGAACTACTGGTATTCTCAGAACACATGGTAAGATCTAGGGGACTTTGGTTGCTCTCTGAAAAACAGAATTACGAAGTTGGAAGGGACCTTGGAGGTTTTCTAGTCCAACACCTCGCTCAAGCACAGAACTATACCATTCCAGACAAGCAGCTGTCCATCCTCTTCTGAAAGACCTCCAGTGATGAAGCACCTACAACTTCTGAAGGCAAGTCATTCCATTCAATTGTTCTCACTGTTAGGAAATTTCTTTTTAGTTCTAGGTTGCTTCTCTCCTTGATTAGTTTCCATCCATTATTTCTTGTCTTGCTGCCTGGTGCTTTGGAAAAGAAGACGAGGACCTCTTCTTTGTGGCAGCTCCTCAAATATTGGAACACTGTTATCATGTCACCTTTAGTCCTTCTTTTCAGCAGACTAAATAAACACAATTCCTGAAGAAGGATTAAAGCACCAGGAGACTGGTAAAGTCCAAAAACAATGGCAAGCAATCCTTTATTTTTTACACAAATTTATTCACCCCTTTTCTATATCGCTCATCTCACCCAAAGTGAGTCTGTTGCCTATAATGTTGCCAAGAAAACTGCAGGGACACGTGGTCAAACGGGCGAAATTTAAGTTTTCCGCTTAGCGTACTTCACCAATGAGAAACAATGCTATTGAAAACAAATGAACTTGTAAAACTATCTACCAGTGTCCCCCACCTCCTTTTTTATTTTTATTTTTTTGTTACGCCCGGGATTCTTACGGCGTCTCGCCCTCCCCGCCGTGAGCTAAGGAAAGGAGGAACGGGGGCGGAGTAGCCTGGCCTGTTATCCTATAGGGAAACGGGAGCTTGCAGTGGAGTTAAAGCAACCCCTGTACTGTTGCAGCCGGCAGCTATCACGCTTTCGGAGAGCGCCATCCTTACCGTTGCAACCATCTCTCTCTCTCTCCCGTACCTTGGCGTTGTAATGTAAGGTACAGCCGCGATTTCCTCGACTCGCCTGGAAATGAACTTACAAGAGCTATCGGCGTACTTGGAGAGTAGGGAGGGCTTGTTGGCCTCGGGGATCGGCTGGTCTCTGGTACTGTGCTTTGGAGCCGCGTATGTCTGCTATTATCTCAGGACGATCGCAAAGGTAAGGCTTTGCAATCGCCGCCTTTTACAAGTGGTCCGGAAAACCCACCTGCTGGTGGGCAGAAAGCGGGCGAGGCCAAACGACTCTGGTCGCCAGGCTCTGACCCGCTTTGAAAGAGACAAGTTAAGTTATCCATAGTTAACGTTATAAGCTAGGCCTTATAACACACGGTTTGGATTTCCACCTCTGAGAAAGCCAGGCGTTTTAGGAGAGAAAAACTTAAGGGGCAATTTCTCCTTCCACATTTTTAAATGAATAAAACGAAAATCGGTTTGCTTTTTGGGTTTGTTCTTCCTGTGTGACCTGGTGCCTCGGTAGTTGCGCAGGATACACCGCAGAGGAACCCGGCGCCAGCTTGTGGAAAGGGAAGGGCAAATGGACTCACATGCAGAAAATCTAGAATAAAGACTGAAATCAATGGAATGCATTGTCCTCTCTTACTACAGTATTAACCCTTTGAAATAAGGCCCCTAATTCATTGGTCTCCTCAGCAAATACAATTCAGATGTTGGGGGTTGCAATTCCCAGAATTTTAACCAGAGGAAATGGCATAGCAGTTTTATTCAAAGGACACCAGACAGGACAGCTTAAAAACTGTGTTCTTTGTGTGACATATCTACCATATGTAGCAAGCCAAAGGAATAAATTATTATTCATAGTAATATTACTGTCTTTGCCATTTTTAGCTTTTCTTTTGCTGGGCAAGCTGAATAGTTGTGTGAATGAATTATTGGCCATGCTAACTAAG